TTCCTCACAGAATTAGAAAAAGCAGCAATAAAATTCATTTGTAAGAATAATAGAAATGAAATATCCAAAACAATCCTGAGCAAGAAGAGTAATGTTGTTAACATCACAATACCTGATCTCAAATTATACTACAGAGAGAGCTATAGTAACAAACACAGCATGGTATTGGCATGAAAACATACATGAAGATGAATGGAATAGAAGACAGAGGCACAAACCCATATTCTTACAGACATCTGATATTTGACAAAGGGGCCAAAAATATATATTGGAGGAAATATACCCTTTTTTAACAAATGGTGCTGGGAAAACTGGATATCCACATAGAAGAATGAAACTAGACTCATATATGTCAAACTGCACCAAATTCAATCAAAATGGATAAAAGGCCTAGAATTAGAACAGAAGTACTGCAACTGCTAAAAGAAAACATAGGTTCAACATTTCAACATATTGGTTCAGGTACTGACTTCCTTAATGAGACCCCTAAAGCTCAATAAATAAAACAAAAAAACTCAGTAAGTGGGATGCTATCAAATTAAGACACTTCTGCACAACACAGGAGAAAATTAAGACCAGAGTACAAAATAGGAGAAAATCTTTGCCTTCTGCTCTTCTGACTGGGGATTAACATCTATAAATAAAGAATTCAAAAACCTTTTCATCAAGAATAAATAAATAACAATCAATATATGGAAAAAAGAACTAAACAGACATTTCTCAAAAAGGAATTACACACAAAAAAAGAAATCTCAAATAGCCAAGAATTATATGAAAAAAAAAATGTTCATCATCTATAGCAATCAGGAAAATGCAAATCAAAACTACACTAAGATTTCATTTCACTCCAGTCACAATGGCAATTATCAATAAACAAATAATAATAAATTCTGATCAGGATTTGCATTGTTGGTGGGACTGCAAATTAGCACAACCATTCCAGAAAGCAAAATTAATAAACATTTCTCAAAAAACTATGAACCAGCCATCTCAATCCTTAATATTTATCCAAAAGCAGAAAATCAGCATACTATARTGATACAGGGAAATCAATTTTTATAGCAACACAATTTACAGTAGGGGCTGGGGATGTGGCTCAAGCGGTAGTGCACTCGTCTGGAGTGCGTGGGGCCCAGGTTCGATCCTCAGCTCCACATACAAACAACGATGTTGTGTCCGCCAATAACTAAAAAATAAATATTAAAAAAATTCTCTCTCTCTCTCTCTCCCTCTATCACTCTCTCTTTAAAAAAAATTTACAGTACCCAAGTTATGGAACTGACACAGACACCCATTGATAGAAAAATGAATTATGAAAATGTGGAATATATACCCAATGGAGTCTCACTCAGCCATAAAAATGACTGAAAGTATGGCATTCTGTGCTCTATGGACAGAAATGGAGAACATCATGCTATGTGAAATACATCAGACTTGGAAAAGAACTAGTTGAATATTTTTTCTCATATATAGAAGCTAGAACCAAATAAGGACAAAAGAGGGGATGAGGAATCATAAAGATACAGGGACAATCTGTGTGTGAGGGTTTAGTTGTGGTGTCCTCAAAATCTCACATGTGAGACAATGCAAGAGGGTTCAGAGAGGAAATGATTGGGCTTAGCCTTAAACTAATCAGTGAAATCGTCCATGATGGGCTCAACTGAGTGCTAAGTGGAGGCAGATGGGGTGTGGCTGGAGGAAGTGGTTCATTGAGGGTGTGGCTTTGGGGTGTATATTTTATATCTGGAGAATAGAGTTTCTCTCTCTGCTTTCTGATCAACATGTGAGCTGCTTCCCTCTGCCACACTCTTCCACCATGATGTTCTGCCTGACCTCAAACCCAAGGAATGGAGTCAGCCTTCTATGGACTCAGACCTCTGAAGCTGTGAGCCTTTAAATAAACTTTTCTTCCTCTACAATTGATCTGATCAGTTCCTTTAGTCACAGGAGTGAAAAAGCCGACTAAAACAATGTGCATAGAAGAAGGAGAATAAGAGGAAAGAGTGATGGGAGGAAATGCAGAATAAATTTGACAAAATTACATAATCTATGCATACAAATATCCCAGAATGAATCCCACCTTAGGTATATCAACAAAGCACCAATCAAAAATAAATAAATAAGTGGAAGAACAGTAGAGAAGAAGGAGGAGAATACTGGGAAGGAAGAGGGGAAAGAGGGTAGACCAGAGAGGAAATTAAATTCCATTTAAGAGTGATTTTGCCAAGATGAACCCAACTGTTATGTATAACTATAATTCACTAAGACAGGTTTTACAAAGGGAAAACAAGCAAGCATGGAGCTTAGAGAATCTCCCATCCATCTCATTTACCCTATCAATTCTTAAGATCTAATAAGAATAAGTTAACAACATGGCTAATATTTATTGAGCATTATCTGCTATGTGTAATAAACATGCACTAACTCATAAACTTTTCACCAAAACAGCTTAAGAGGTAGATGCTGTACTTGACTCCAAAAGGCTCAGACAATAAAGCCACTGAAAGTCATACAACAACGATCTCAACGAGGAACCAATATGTGCCCTGACACTGCTATTACTAATCCATCTGGATAGGGACCCATCCATATAGAAAGAGAAAATGGAGGCCCATGAAGGGGAAGTGATTTTTCCAGGCTTAGCCCAAGTTCACATTAGAAATCTGTCCCTGATGATTGGTAGGTTGCTACTTTAGGCACTGGTCCCTCACACCTCGTCCCAGGTAAATCAGGAAGGACAAACACACTTGACTTCTCTTCCAACTACTTCTCCTCTTTCATCACCTGCCCCCCTCTCCAGGATGGCTCCTGGGAGTATTATGAAATCTCAGGACCCTTCGTTTTGTCAGCTTCACTGAGAAGAAATGCTCCAAATTTCCTGTTCCTTCCAATTCAAGAAGGAAGTGGGAAGAAAAGGGGCCCAGAGCTGTGGCCAGCTGGTGATTGGCAGATTTACTGAGAACTGCCAACCATATACTAGTCCTCCTCCTCACCTCGACCCTCTCCAAAACCAATTTCCTCTCTATGTTTCCTTCTGTGCACTTTGTTCTGTCCCCACATGACTTAGAGACCAGCAGAGTAAAATTGGTTGAGTGAGATTCTAATTATCAAGTGCAAAGCTCACCCAGTGCCCAGGTCAAAGGTCAGGGACCCTGAGGCCTAAGTACAACCCTAGATGGTCCAACCTTCAGTGACTGCCCAGTGTTCACCTGGGGCCCTTCAAGGTCAAGCTGAAGTCAATATCAGTACCTGTGTAATAATCATGTCAGAACCCACTGGGACCATCTTCAGAGACCACATGRGGCTGCTCTTAAACCAGCTGGAAGGCAACCTCAATGGCTACTTAGGACCACTTTCAGAGCCTTCTTGGCAACAGAGATACAGCTGACAATATTTTGAGTATAAATTCAGTGCCAACTTCTTTCCCATTCTACTGCATAATTCTCCTATTTTAATTGGAAGGAGGGAGAAAGTTGGATCATTTCTTTCTCAATGAAATTGGCAATAGGAAAGGTACCAGGAAGGACAAACACACTTGACTTCTCTTTCAGCTACATAGGCTGYTAGTACATGCAATGATGCTATGCTTGGTCCTCAGAATGGGCTGGCCCCCAGAATGGGCTGGGGCAGACAATGAAGGAAGAAGGAGCTAGAATTTAAATCCAAACTCCCTCTCTTTCCACATTATGACCTCAGAGAAGTTGATGACAAGCCCCAATGTAATCAAGATTTGAAAGATCATGCACACAGACTCCATCTTCCTGGACCACAACAAACTCGCCAAACAGGAACTCTTCTCATTACTACAGAATAATTTAATGAGTGAAGGACAGTAGCCACTCATCCTGTCTCTGCTGCCACCTGTGATACCCCAGGTTTCACCTCTGGAGTTCACCCAGTCTCTCTGGCTACAGTCCACTCTGCCTCCTAATACAGCCCCTGATAAAACTGAATCATCCCTAAAGGTCTCAGACTTCCCAAATACTCCATGTCCCCTGGCAAGGACATCAAAGCCCAGAAAGGGAACTTATGCAGAGGAAGAAATATATGCAGGCCACACATGTGCAGTGGATGGTCTATATTTCATGGCACCCATCCTGGCCTCACTTTGAGGTGATCATGATGACACTGGGCTCCAGGATCCTGCTGGGATTTTCATACAATTCTCTTCCCAGGAGTTCCACATCCAAAGCTCTGGGTCCTTCTCACATCAAGACCCTCAAATACATAATCTTGGAATCCCTGCTCCTGAGTCATTTAAATCTAAGTCCCTCCATGCTGAATGACCCCCTAATCCACAGCCACATATCCTGTCTCATTCCAATAAAATCTAGGTCTTGGGATTCCACCACAGATCCCACATCCATATTGATGAGTCTCCTTTTCTATCTAGGATTCCACACAACCTCAGGTCCTTGGGCATGCAGATGTTCACGGATTTGGAGTTAAGTTCTTGCCTCGTACAGCCACTCTCCGAGGTACCTCCACTTCAACTGCTATGAGTTCAGTCTGGAACCACAGTACCTATGACTCTGTCCAGAGATCCTTCTCCTCCTCCTCCTCCTCCTCCTCCTCCTCCTCCTCCTCCTCCTC